AATCGTCGGACGATCGGACGATTTCTGACTCTTCTTCGATTTCTGACACAGAATTTAGGGCTGGAAATTGAGTCATTATTTTTTCCTCCCCAAGACCGGGCACTTCAGTTGGCTTCCACCGCTTTTTTTCTTTTCAGTTGATGCCATTAATGTAAGTAAACGGTCAGTGAATTGACGGACAAAATTGCCCTTGTGGTTTGCCACGTGGAATGCTAATTTCAGAAATTAAGAGCCATTACCGATGAAATGGGCATGGATTTACTGATTAAATAGTTTAGTGATCAATTATTGACAAAAAATAGTTCAATAGCCAAAACATGACCCTGAGAAAAGTTTAATGGCCGCCAGGTTTTTTGCATTTTACTTAAATATGCATAAGCAATGTTTTACCACTTTATCAAAAAATGAGAAAGGATTGTATAACATTTCATGCCAAACACGCTGCTATCTTTGACCAATACTTGTCCAATTATGGGTCCAATGGCCAGGAAAAACCCTAATCGGCTCTGGGAATTTCGTCTACTGCATCACACAAAAAATCAAAGCAAATTATTTTTTATTCTTAAAAAATTCAGAAAGTGTAGTAGTGCACTTATTTTAATTCGGTGATTCACTCCTCAATTTTCATACAAATATCTTCTCCCTAAAGTAGGAGTATAAGTAGATTAGATAGTTATCGTTGCAAACGATAAGAAAAAAAACATAAGAAACAATCCCATGAGGAAATATTATAAACTCTTCCACTTTCTTAATTTTTTTTTCAATGTATAGGTGCAAAACTTTTAAGAATTTATAGCACTAATGTAAATTTAATTTATGTTGTTAGTACAAATTTGAAATGGAAAGTTACCATAAGAGAAAGTTTTTTTTTTTTGTTATTTCGCTATGTAATTTGAAGGCTTGCGATGATGTTAAAGCAACTATTTTCCTGCCAAAGCAATTTTACAAATTTCAAAATCTAGGATTTGGATGATTGAAAGTTTTTCCCTTAATGCAAAACACATATTTTCAAAATCTAACATGTGATTGATTCCAAAGAATCCTCAACTTTTGTGCCACTCTGCAAAAACTTATAGTACTTTATATTTTGCAAAATTTTTGATGCACAAACACAAGACAATGGTAAGGTTGCAATTGTCTGATTACAAATAAGAAAAAACGTATCAAAGTTTGAAAATGGGGGCCTCTTCTTGAAAAGAATTGCAAGATTCAACTTGTTATTTCTCAAACAATCTAGCTGATTTCCGTTGCAATTGTTGATCCCCCGGATTGCCACTAGGGCAGGAAAACCCATAAAGATCTTCCAGGCAACGGCATTGTTATTGTGGCTACAAATGATTGATCGTACAGACAAATAGATGATTAATTTCTTCCTGCTTTCCTTCCCTTCTGATTTTCTGAAAATCAATGAATTATTGACTGTGGAGATGAATTTTGGATTTTTGGTCCATAGAGTCATCATAGAGAGACCCCATGAGAGAGAAATGGAAGGCTGAAGAAGGACACGAATAAAGAAACATGAAGAAAACAACGTAGAAAGAGGAATAAAACCGTAAAAGTAGGGATTGGGATTGGGATTTGGGACATTAAACCAAAAAAAAAAAGTGAATGATCATTTAGAATAAAATTTAAAATTGCTTTGGCAGGAAAATAGTTGCTCTAACTGCATCACCATCACCAGCCTAGTTTGAACTAGTTTGAATAATTGATAAAAAAAAAAGTGGAAATAGGGGAAAGTTTAGAACTTTAATGGCACAATAAAACCAATCAATTGGAAAAATTTCCCCAAGACTTTGACATTCTAGGACAAATTGACAGTTCATTTCGAGATGACTTGATGCTTATCTTCTAATCGATCGGGTCCTGATGATGATAATCAGATAATCAAGGGTCCACAACCTATTTCCAATTCATTTGAGTCCATTATTCAAGCTCAGCATTAACCTATAGCGAAATTGACCGATGGGGTTTCGCTAAAAAATACTAGCACATTTGAGATTAGTGGTTTTATGGCCTAAACTACGTCAAATTTTTGTGTATTGGTGGCCTGGATTAAGGAGGCGTTCGAGAATATGGTGTTCAATCTCTTTGGCTTTCACTTATTTACAGTTTCACAATTTTGACAGAAGGGGTCTTAAGTGGAATTTTGAGGATGGTGTCATGCAGCACATAAGATAGAGAAATTTCCAAAATGATGATGAATTTTAAAAAATTTCTGCAAAGGAGGCATTTTGAGTGTAGAATTCCGTCCAGGAGTCTTCGCATTCAAGAGATGCGAGTTCGCATTTGCTGAATGCGAAGTCATTTAAATTTTCAACTCACAAAATCTCAAAAAAAAAAAAAAGAAACGAAACCCCGCATTTGTCAAATGCTAGATAAGTAAATGCATTTGTCAAATACCGGTCTCATGAACTAGTTCTACCATCTCGATTGCACAGACAAGACAGGGGTCACTTTTTTCTCAATGCCCCAAATTTCACTCGGCCAGTTTCACGCATCAAATGATCCATTACATTGACCAAAAAACAGAAATAAATATGTCGGACGAGTTCTTCACCATTTAATTCAGGAAATTGCACCAGTGAATATAAGAAATAAAATAAAAATTTTGTAAAAAAATGGACAGCGGCAAATGGGTGGGATTGCCAACCAAGATAAAGCTAGCTGTATCTCGTAGCAACGACATTGGCGCTGAATTTTTTGAGGTCGTTTCGCAGATTTCTGGCGAGATATCTAGTGCAAATGCGAGCTTCATCTCGGACCTCTTGGGCACGGCCAAATCAGTCAAAAATCCCTTTAATTCAGCTGTAGTACAAATGTATTTGGCTTTTGAAAGGATTTCAGTAGCGAATTAGGGGACAATTTTTGGTTCATCCCCTTGTTCCCAATTTTACCAGCAGCGGTGTAGGGTTTTGAAGGAGTTGCTCGTTGCATTTGAAAATGAAAGACAGAAGTAGGGATGGCAACGGGGCGGGATTGGGGCGGAGGACCCTCTCCCGTCCCCGCCCCGTTGCCTATTAGTTCCCCCGCCCCGCCCGTCCCCCGCTCCTGCTCCCCCGCCCGTCCCCCGCCTCCTGCTCCCCCCGCCCCGCGTCTTGCCCCTTCCCCCGCGGGGTACCGCGGGGTTAATAAAATTTTATTATAATTAAATTTTAATAAATTATCAAGTACTAAAATATCAACACATCACCAAATTATTATTCATTGTAATTTTACAATTGAAACTCATAAAAACAATCAAACAGAAGCTATTTAAATACAATTCAATATGATGAAATAAATATAACTAAAATAGTCAAGTTTTCACTCTTAGTACAAATGCAATCACTAATTTATTATTGTGTTTGTACTTTTTTTTTTGAAAAAAAGTGTTATTCTATTAAGTGTAATTAGAAATTTAGTATAAATGTATTAGTAAATTTAGTATAACTAATTAATAAATTCTATTAGTAGACATGTATAATTATTCATATAATTGATAATATCAATTATATTACATAAACTAATATACATTATATAATACATTTAACTAATAATATCATTATCATAAGTTTATAACTAATTAACTTACATATTATATATAATTATATATATTTATATGTATATTTTTTTTGTTTTGCGGGGGGCGGGGCATACCCCGCCCCCGCCGTTTCTAAGCGGGGGGAAAAAATTCCCCCCGCCCCGCCCCACCCCCCCCAACCCCCGCCCGAGAACCCCGCGGGGCGGGTGCCCGCGGGCACCCGCCCCCATTGCCATCCCTAGACAGAAGCGTGTGTTTTGTTTTTAGTAACTAGCATTTACTTAGCTCATTTTACTTTTCTTTTTTAACAATTCTGACCATACCAAGCATTTTTTGAATGCAATCTCTTCGGAGCACGCATTTGAGAAATGCGAACACCCTTATCTTAGAATTGGATCAACAAATAAACCCTTTTGTAGTATAACTTTTTTTTTCATAATAACTTTAGAAATTCCTCACATAAGATAAGACTTGTAGCTCCAAGATTTACTCTGATCCTTGGTATTGTTTAGGTCAATGTGAGAACTGTTTGATAAATAATGTGTAAGTAATTTCACTATAACTTGTTGTTTAGATGTAATTGAACCCTGAGATGGTGAGCGGAATCGAAAGTAGCACTGTTTTTAAATTCAGATCAAAGAGTAAATTGAAAAAATCTTCTGGTTCACGATTCGATCAGCTTGACTAATTCAAAGGTTTAATATTTTTTATTCATTTTAGTATTAAAAGTTTTGAATAAAATCAAAACATTTATTTTAGACAATAAAAATAGGTCAAACCTCCCAATTTTTACCAATTTTTATTGTTCAATTGGCTTTTGACCAAATTTGACCGATTCAATTGATTCTTTAAATTATTTATTGAAGTGGATCGAAGGCATGACCGATTTACGGTTCAATTGGTCGAACTGACCAATCCAATTAGATTTTCAAAACACTCCAAAACGATCCCAACATTTATATTACCAAAAAGGAAAAAAGAAAAAAAAAGCAAATTACATTTTACCCCCCTGTGGTTTAGCATTTTTTACATAACCCCCATATGGTTTCAAAAGCTATACATAACTCTCTCATGGTTTGGATTAAAATGTCAAAGTGACGGAAATAGTCACTCGTAACGAACTTCTAAAAATGTCGAAATTACCCTTATAAATACATGACACATTAACCCGTATAATTTTTTTATTTACTATATAACCCCTTATGATTTAATACTTTACCATATAATCCCTTATGGTTTTCAAAATATACACATAACTCCCCTTGATTAATAAATAATTTTCAACTTTACATAAGAGTATTTTTGACATTTTAGGTGACTCCGTACGAATAGTCATTTCCGTCACTTTGACACTTTAATCTAAACTATAAGGAGGTTATGGATAGCTTTGAAATCATAGGAGGTTATGTAAAAAAAATGTTAAATCACAGGGGTAAAGTGGAATTTGCCCCAAAAAAAACTTGAACTGTATAGTTGCAAAATGGAGAGAGAACATGGTCATGGTCCTCAAGAAAGTCGGGAAAGGTCTAACGACCTCTTTCCAGTAAGTAAGCAGCGTTTTCTTTCTCATCTTTGTGCTTGGCAAAGATACGTACTACTTTGCTCTCATCTCTGATGGCGTAAAAATTCGAAATAAATCCAACGGTCGAAGTCCCATATGACGAGTCATGAAGAAAGAAGGGACCATTGGACATAGCAGCAGAAGAGCTTTTTCCTCCTACTTCACCTCCCCGCCATTTCTTCCTCACCACAACTCTTCTCCCTCCCCAGCCCAATTCTCAATCCTCCCATCATTCGATACCTTTCATCCCTGTTCCACCTCATCCAGATCAAGAAAATCCCTCAAATTTACACAACAGAAGTTCTTTTCTTTTCTTTTTTGAACTTTTTTCCTTTTCTATGTGGTACATTTAATCTGTTCTTGAATGGTAAAGAAAATGATTGCTGGAAGCAACAACAATGGGCTCAATTTTCGCATGGCATTGACATTCTTTGCAGGGGTGATCACTTTAACAAATAATGTCGTCTTCACCTATGCGGCGAATGACAGCAGTAGTGATGCTAGTATGGATCTCTTAACAGATGCAATCTCTGCCCGTTTTCAGCAATTTCACTGACTCATTCAAGGGTGATATCACGAAAGAAATGGGATTTTGCATTGACAATGTGTAAGTCCATGTTGGGTATTTTTCCTCAGATATATAGAGAAATATGGATGCACACATTTCTTATGGTTCTTTCTCTTATACTACATGCATATGTTTTTCTTGTTGGTCAGCTGGTGGACTGTAAATGTTTGCAATTGGTGAATTATGTTTTACAGTCATCTGCATTGGACGATAAAGCTGATAGGTATCCAAAAAAGGGTGAATGTTGCTTGATGTAAACTGTAGTTCTGAAATGGTTACGTGATCTATGTCCCATTAACGTAATGAACAGTTGTTTCACTGCATAAACATCTAATGAATGCAATAAAATGGTAGAAAAAGTAGTAGTATAAGCAAGTATACTCAAAAGTTAGTTATTTTTGGGAAAGGCTATTAACTAGATATTGTATAATTTGATCTTTTTAAGAATGCCTTGCTTTGCCTAGGATGTGTAATAAGACAGATAAACATAGTACATATTTTAAATATGTTAGAATAGAAACTTGAGAACCTGTTAAGGAAGATGTTAATTCACCAGTATATTGGTGTATAAAGCAAACAGAAGAAAATTTGTATTATCTACTTGCACGTTTTATGTAAGGGAAGATGGACGCTAATTTTAGCCAGCAGTAACTAAAACTACGATTCGGTCCAACTAGTCTAAAAAAGTAGAATATTTCCTTTTAATACAGTTGGCATTTAATGTAAGATCTAAGGGATATTTGCTTGTGCTTCCGTTAATCTTTTATTCTTCTTGTAGTTTCTAGTTGATTAATGGGATTTTGGTTTGCATTATTTCCTTGGCTCTTGTTAATCTATAATTTCTCTCTTTTCATATCCTTGCTCTCTTTAGCTCAATATCCTTCCTGTTTCCTCCACCGTATAGAGTCCTATATTAACAATTTCTCACATATAGATGTCACTTCTGGAGAAATACACATGATGGTGTAGAAAAGTCATCTGACTGATAAACATTTCTGCCACGTGAGACAAAATCAAACAGATGGAACAGTAAAACCGAGAGATCCTTTTGCTCATGGGATCCTCTCCTTAGCTACTCTTTATTTTTCCTTCCATAGATTATGTGTTACAATGGTATATTCTATTTGATCTATATGGAAGTTTACTATGCATTTCTACAGGTTCTAATTCTCGTTGATACTGAACTTGATGCCTTTTGATTGTGTTAGGGATGCTGAATGGAATGCCGCATTCAATTTCTCAAAAAAGTCAAAGTTCTTAGCTGAATGCATTAGATCGTCGGGAGGTATTGACTGAATTCAGAATTAGCTAGCAGTCATATTTGTGAAAATTTTAAATCAACTTCATTCATTTTTGCTTATTATTTTCTCTAGGTGATCAGAATGCAATTCCCAAATTGTCATCCTTAGACTTCTTTGAGAGCACCTAGTAAATGGATTACCTAGGCTCCTAAAGTTCTACAGGCTGATAGGAAGGAAAAGGAACCCTTTGGCTGGAGACCAGAAAACACTTAAATTGTGCATTTATATGATCATAATACCTGATTAAGCGTCACTGTTGAGTTTTCATTGGACAAATTTGTGACCTCTACTGGTCCTAGCTCTTTTAAAGTTCTCAAAGTTGGTTTGCTTGTGATGTCCAGAATTTTATTTTGATAGGAAAAGAAATATAACTCTCCTGATTAAATTACCCCATTGAAGAAATGATACAAATATATGTTGTCACATTACTAATTTGGCAGTCAAGAAGCTTTCTTTCATCTGATGGAGAACCTATGCTGCATAATGCAGCACCAGGTTTTAATACCATCTCTGAGCTCATGCTTGTTCTTGGAGTTTTCAATCCTTTCCATTTCAGTCGTCCTTTGTCATTTTGACATTCCTTTTTGTTCTGTTGTGGATTTGTAGGGGATGCTGCACGGCGCTTGTGCACTGCAGCAGAAGTAAAGTTTTACTCCAGTAGTCTAATTGATCAAGCAAAGGAAACTGGAGGAGTACCAACTACATCAAACTTCTTAAAACCTAACAAGAACTGCAACTTAACTTCTTGGATTTCTGGTTGTGAACCTGGATGGGCTTGTAGTATTGAAAAAGACAAGAAGGTTGACCTCAAAAATTCAAAGGATATTCCAACTAGACTTAGTGATTGTAAACCGTGTTGTGAAGGCTTCTTCTGTCCTCATGGTCTTACCTGCATGATACGTAAGTATTTGAAAGTTGTCTAGAACTTTTCCTCTTTAATCTTTCTTACTTTTCAGGCATCCTTTTGAAATCTATCACTCATCTGAATGCCATTCTATTAGAGTTTCTCTTGATCTTATTTTTAATCATTTTTACATTTTTCTTCGGTGCTTTTCTTAAACCATCTTGAAGTTTGATTTCAGTTTCAAAACTAAAGCACTAAGAAGTTTCTTTAAGTAAAAAAGGTGTAAACGAAAGATTAGCTTTCCTTTGCATCTGAACTTCATTTTTCAGAATGCTGAATGAGCAATTGACTATGAGTTGGAGAAATAATTCACACTGTCGTAATTATGTATCAATGCATTAAGAAAACTGAATCAGGATGAACAATTCATGGATGCCTTACTCATTCTCTGTTTCTCTGACCATTTGATTTGACTTCTTAAGCTCTGAAGGATTATTGTTAGGTTGATAAGTCTCACTATTATAATTTTATCAAACCAAAACTAAGGAATAAAAGAAAAGGTAAACAATCTAAGTGTTTGACGTTGTTTTCCACGTAATGGATGTGATACAAATGCAACGCCATTATTTGTAGAATAATGTCAAACACTCAACTTGTTTACAATGCTTATGGAAGTGAACTCAACATGTCAATACTTATTGTGCTCTAATCCAGCAACATATGTAGCACTTAGCCTGATTCTTTTTTGTCCTTTTATGTACTTTTGTGTGCTGTTTCTCTCAAAAGGTTGTACCTTACATTCATGAACGTCCATTAATTTCATGCCTACGTGCCAAGAAATATCTTGTCAAACTGTAAGTTGTTCATTCTGCTCTTGAGGAACATCTATTTGGTCAGCAGCCATTTTGACTAACGTCTTTGGGGACAAGATTTACTCCTAGTTGAAGCTGTAGTAGCTTTTGTTTTGGTTTCAAATTGAAGGCAGTTTACTTAAGCAACAAACATAGTTGGAGACGGTTTGTATGCTTTCAGCATGCGAGATTAACAAGTGGAAGAGCTTGCTAAGATTTTCTTGGACGCTCCATCTATGTCATGTGTTACGTGTAATGATAAAATTATATCGCATGAAGCTGGAAAAAGAACCATAGCTACTTTTAACAACTTTGTTATATCAGGAAAATCTCAACAAGTTCAACATGTCAGTGAACAAAAAATTAGCTACTTTCATTTGCTATATCTTGCATTTGAAATTCCATGCTGCTTTCTTCTAAACTCTCTCTCTCTCTCTCCCCCTCTCCCTCCCTTTTCTTTTTTGTTTTTTCCCTGATTTTGTTCTTTTGATATATTGCCGGTGGAGGACGATTTCTAACCTTTTTCAAAATCTCATTTCTGAAGCCTGCCCATTGGGTGCTTATTGCCCTCTTGCAACACTCAATAAAACTACAGGTTACTGTGATCCGTAAGTTAAAGTCTTCTCCTAAACCATTTCCTCAATCAGGTTATCTTGCGTTTGCTCCAAGTGATGTCCATAGTCTATAAAAACTGATGCAGGTACCGGTATCAATTGCCTCTGGAGGGTCCAACCACACTTGTGGCGGAGCTGATGTCTGGGCTGATTTCATGAGTGCAACTGAACTATTCTGTTCAGCTGGATTTTACTGTCCAAGTACTACTGAAAAGATTCCATGCAGCCGTGGGTATTACTTACATCCCAACACTCGTAGCAATTTTTTCTAGTGGCTTTATTTCCAATTTTGTGTTCTTAAGAAAAGGCTCTTGGCATCTCTTTGCTTCATTTACGTTGCAAGTCTTGTAATATGTCTTGCATATCCTGTTGTTTATTTGCTTGTGGTGTTGCTTTGTCATTGTTCAGGTATTACTGCAGGGCAGGCTCTACAAAACCATCAAGTAAGTCGTGTTTTGTTGTTTGTTTACACCATTCAGATACATGGATATCTGTTTTCTATGTATTACAAGAAGCCATAATTTTGTATATTCAGCTCAATTTCTAATGTAATGCTGGTAATATGTCTCTGCAACTAGTTTTCGGTTAGTTGTTTGCATGTGAGCGTCGTTAACAGATGACCATGTGAAGAAGAACAAAAGAAGAGGAAAAAAGAAGCGCATATTCTTGGTGATACGAGTCTCAGAAGATATGAATGTCCTTCGTTGTGCAAATATGATTATAAACTTCACCTTGTCTTTAGTATGCATGGGTACAGATTTTGCCAGACATCTGAGTGTCAGATGCTTGATAAGGGACTTAGTGTAGTACAATGAAAAATGAGACCCCACAATGTTGCTAGATTTTTGTATTATCAAATCACATGAAGGTTTTCTAATTACAACAGATATGTCTGATCAAGACGTTGCTAAATGTTTTCGATAACTGTGAATGAGGTACTGAGGAGCCATGTTCATTTATCTTCTGTATTCTGCAAGTTTTGCAGAGATGTCTTAAAGGCATGCTAGCAGTTCCTTTTCTAGTTAAGCATTCTTGCAGAGAACCTATTTTACAGTTGCCTATCTTTTCCTTCTTAATGCTCGTTCTAAAATAATGTTGTATTTTGTGGATGATCTTGTAGAATGCTATGCGTTGGCAACTTGTAATCCAAAAACGGAAAATCAGAATATCACAGCATATGGTATCCTGTTCTTTGTAAGTTCACAATCATGCGAAAGCAGCTTGTTTCATTCCAATATTCTATTTCCACATATAATTTCTCTTTTGCTAGATGTTTCACTCTTTTCTCCTATATTTATTTAGGTAGATGTAAAGAAAAACGTTTAATGAGCATATCTTATTGCAAGCACAAAGTGAATTTGTATTCAACACAAGCAGAGATCTTGTGAATTTTTTCTAAAAATGTGAATTTGTCTTTAACATCTTTTGTACAAAAGATTGTGAATTTGTGTTCACAGCCTTTTCTTGCAGCTGAAGTGGTAGGAACTTATGAAGCAGGTTTGAACCATCTTTTATCTTCTTGTCAATACCAGCTACCTGCAACTAAGAAGATTCTCTAAAATCCTTAAGCCCTGATGGGAATATAAAGTTGGGATCAGCATCACATAGAGGTATCAATAGGAGTAGGCAAAGTTGAACTGGCTTCATTGTACTTCTTTCTTCTGTCCTTTTTGGATTAAAAGGCATAGGACTTCCGGTCTTACTTTTGGGAACTGTGAGCTTTCTTTTCTGTGCAAAATGGGCCGCAGTCTTTTGTAGTAACTGTTTACATACAACTAAGTCGGTAAAAAAAAAGGTCGGTATTAGAAATGCTGCACATTTTCCTCATGCGTATGTATTGCATCCAAATTGTGCATGGTCGAATGCTTTTAATTTGCTCTTGTCATTCCTTTGTAGGGAGGCATCATGCTTGTACTTATCATTATTTACAACTGTTCTGATCAAGTACTGAGTACAAGAGAAAAAAGACAAGCTAAATCAAGGGAAGCTGCCGCAAGAAGTGCAAGGGAAACTGCACAGGCACGTGAAAGGTGGAAGTCAGCAAAGGATGTTGCTCGAAAGCATGCAACTGGACTGGGAGAACAGTTATCTCGAACCTTTTCTCGGAAAAATCTGCTCGGCAAGAACCACCAAGGAAAGGTGCTGGCTTGCCACCAATGCCTGCAGAAGCTTCTGAACCGAAAGGCAAGAAAAAAGGAGGAGGAAACCTCACGAAAATGATGCAAGAGCTTGAAGAGAATCCTGATAGTCATGATGGCTTCAATGTTGAGATTGGAGACAAGAACATTAAAAAGCAAAGGGCTAAGCAGTTGCAAACTCGGAGTCAAATTTTCAAGTACGCATATGGTCAAATTGAGAAAGAGAAAGCTCTACAGGAGCAGAACAAAAATTTGACATTTTCTGGAGTAATCTCCATGGCTTCTGATATCGAAATAACCACAAGACTTCCTATTGAAGTTGCTTTTAAAGATTTGACTCTTACGCTGAAAGGAAAAAAGAAGCATCTCTTGAGGTGTGTTACGGGGAAGCTAGTGCCAGGCCATGTCTCGGCAGTCATGGGTCCATCTGGGGCTGGTAAAACAACATTTCTTTCTGCATTGACAGGAAAAGCTACCGGTTGCACCAAGAGTGGGTTGATTCTCATAAATGGTAAGGTTGAATCGATGCATTCATACAAGAGAATTATTGGATATGTGCCTCAAGATGATATAGTTCATGGAAACTTGACGGTGGAGGAGAATCTCTGGTTTAGTGCTAGGTGCAGGTATGCCACCACTAGTCTACATGGCATTTCACCTCATCTGTTAGGATTTATTGGTAACTGGTGCTTCTGTACTCCAATTTCTGAGAATTTAAGTTATCTAACTAATTCCAATTGGTATGAAGGTTTTTGTTCTGTTGAAGGTTTTTATTCTTGTCCCCATATTGTCATTTTAAGCATATCTTTAAATATTCTGCCTCCATTGAATATTTTCCTATAAGCTTCTCAGATTATCTTCCCTATAAGTTAATCTGTAGTTAAAACTATATACATTCTTGTGAATAGTGGGATTTGTAAACTTCAAGAATTAGCATATTCATCTATATATCCAGGAAATTCAAAGCTAGGCTTGTTATCATTTTTTTTTTTTTGACATCATTTTACATTATAGCCTCCTTTTGCTCTATGCATGATGAGGTTTGGATGATTTTCCAGTTCATGAAATCATCCTCCCTATGTGAATTTTGATGCATTTGATGAAGTTAGGAGTCTTGTGAGCATGGATTAATAGCTATAACCCTTGGTCGGTGCCTAGCTCAACATGTCGGCCATGGAATAAGCAAGGAAGAAAACCAATATAAAGAGGATTGTCAACATAAATTGTGCCTTAACTTCATATGGCATTTAATAATATCATTCTCTCTTATTCAATCTCATAACTTTACTTATCCGGCGAGCTTGCATTCTGATTTTGTGCTCTTTTCTTGAGTTCTTGTTTGTAGATTACCGGCTGATCTTCCAAAACCAGAGAAGGTGTTAGTAGTTGAAAGAGTCATCGAGTCCCTAGGATTGCAGCTGGTTAGGGACTCTTTAGTAGGAACAGTGGAAAAGCGAGGAATTTCTGGGGGACAGAGGAAGCGAGTTAATGTCGGGTTAGAAATGGTTATGGAGCCTTCTTTACTGATCTTAGATGAACCCACATCTGGCTTGGATAGTTCTTCTTCTCAATTACTGCTTAGAGCACTCCGTCGCGAAGCTCTTGAAGGCGTAAACATATGTATGGTGGTACACCAACCAAGGTAATCTTTATAGCAGATAATTCACTAATTATTGTGGAAGTTAAAAATTTGTCTTCCTCTTAGTTTTGACTTGGAATCTTATTCTTGAGGAGGCTTGCACGTTTTGATTTTAGATATTTCTTTCTCAATTTTTGATGATTCCTGATTCTTATCCTGTTAGTTTTGATGAACTATGCTGTATAAACTGCCATATAGTTTTTATTCTTTGTTAATTCCAAAAGGCATAAATAAATGTCAAAGATGTAATGGTTAATTGGTAGCCTTCTCATCTAAGTTTCTGTTACTTTCCTGGTTCAGCTACACCTTGTTCAGGATGTTTGATGATTTGATACTTCTAGCTAAGGGTGGTCTAATTGTATACCATGGATCAGTGAAGAAAGTTGAAGAGTACTTCTCCGGAATTGGGATCCAAGTCCCTGAGCGTGTTAATCCTCCAGACTACTACATTGATATTTTGGAGGGAATTGTAAAACCGAGTGCAAGCTCTGGAGTTAACGTCAAAGATCTTCCCCTGAGATGGATGCTTCATAATGGCTATCCAGTACCACCAGAAATGCTGGATTCTGCTGGAATGGCGGCAACTGGAGATTCAGCACATGGCGGGAATCCTGCAGCGGCTGGGGCTGATGGACAGTCTTTCGCTGGAGACCTGTGGGAAGACGTCAAATTCAATGTTGAGCTGAAGAAGGACCACTTACAACATAATTTCTTGAAGTCGAAGGACTTATCTGACCGAAGAACCCCAGGCGTATTTACGCAGTACAAATATTTCCTAGGAAGGTATCAGTCAATTACTGATTTGGTATGACGCAGCCTAGATATTTCTGTTCTTTTATGCATGTATCAATTCTGAGTTCAGAGCCAACCATATTTGTTTTGTACATGAATTAACTTCTTTAGGGTGGTAATATGGCAAGAACCAGAGCGCTTCTTTAGACATTTCATTTTTAGAAAATATTCATTTGGATGACATTTGATGGGTGAGAGGGAAGGCAGAATCCGTAGACATTCATGATAATCTCAGAAGCTGTAGGATGTTTGGTTCAAATTCTACGTTTTGGTAGCTTATAGTGATTAAAGGTGAATGATCTTCACTCCCATTAGCTTAGCATCTGCTTACACGTACTATTTCAATTTTGCTCAGAGTTGGTAAACAGCGACTACGAGAAGCCAGGACACAAGTGTTAGATTTTCTGATTCTACTGCTCGCTGGAATATGCCTAGGGACACTGGCTAAAGTGAGTGATGCTACCTTTGGGGCCATGGGATATCTCTACACTGTCATTGCAGTTTGTAAGTTTAATTATCCTGCCTTATTGATCACTTTTTGATATGTCTCATCCATTTCAACTCTTTCAAAAAATCATGCGTGCCACAGAATCAATTCTAATATCTCATGATGTTGCTAGCATCTATGATACTACTATATCGCACTGCATGTTAAAGATCTTTGTCATTTCGTGAAAGTTGCAGACACACGAGATGTGTTGCAAGCGTATGCCCGATGCTATTAGACATTCTTCAAAACTTATTATTTTGTAAATTCTCTTCTGATGATATTGTTCATTCTTTCTCATTTACCAAGTTTTTATTCCTTGCTCTCAGCTCTACTCAGCAAGATTACAGCTTTGAGATCATTTTCTCTGGATAAGTTGCATTACTGGAGGGAGAGTGCTTCTGGCATGAGCAGCTTGGCTTACTTTCTTGCCAAGGACACGGTTGACCATTTTAACACAATTGTAAAGCCAGCAGTTTATATGTCAATGTTTTATTTCTTCAACAATCCAAGATCAAGCATTATGGACAATTATGTTGTGTTGGTGTGTCTGGTGTACTGTGTTACTGGTATAGCTTATACACTTGCCATCTACTTTGAACCTGGTCCTGCCCAATTGGTATGCATTTGAAGTTCCTACTGCATGATATATATATATATAGTACTAGTATATTTATATACCATTTGCATGGCTCATAAATTAGTTCTGCTCCCTGCAGTGGTCAGTGCTGCTTCCGGTTGTCCTATCTCTGATTGCAAACCAGGAGGGTGACCCATTTTTTAATAAACTAGGGAACTTCTGCTACACAAAATGGGCTTTGGAAGCATTTCTCATAGCAAATGCAAAAAGGTTTGATCCAAATGTCATGTCTTTGCAATTCACATTACAGTCTCTATTTAGTTTTCTCACATGTCACAAATCGCCAAATAATTAATCAGCCTATATTGCCCCGTAGAGACCGACATCATTGACTTAGTGGACTATTGTTTGAATTCAATTCTTGTTAGTAGAAATTTAGTTCCATTCATCAATTTTCACGAAAAATAATGCCAAGAACATCCCAAAATGTCGTGCCTACAGATGGAGTTCTGCACAGTCCCTCTTGTTTACTTTCTTGATTAGACATGGTACATGCTGTTTCTCATGCTGCTGTGGAAATTGGAATCTTACAGGATTTGAATTTCAATTAGCATTCAGTAGCTGTACAAATTTCTAATCCTGTCAAAGTATTATGACACATTGGTCTTGTAAAAGATCATCAGGCCTGATCAAAGAGGGCAAACTTACAATGGACATTACCTAGGGCCATTATATGCATGTTAATATGGCATACCTGCGTGGTTGTAAAGAAAGGGACTGAAAATACTAACAATTAACTCGCAAGGCTACTTCACCTTACTATTCTTCTTTCCACGTGAATGCTGTTGCAATTGCTAGCCAAGAAAGATGGAACTCTGCAGAGGATTTCAGAAGACAGTACAAATTATTAACTCGTATGTGTCAAATCAGTCCTGGTTACTAGCATGCATGCAGTAGATAACTAATGAGGAAAACAAAAGACAGTTAAAAAGTTATCCTTCGCACCTTATAGTGAATATACCTCAACAAAATGTTGAGATAGTTGATCTATGTCTAACCTACTGGCTGAATACTCTGCTCATTTATCTAATCTTATTTCTTTGATTGTCAGGTACTCAGGAGTGTGGCTGATTACGAGATGTGGTGCGTTACAACAGAGAGGGTATCATCTTGGAGACTGGTATCCCTGTTTAGCATACCTGGTGGTCACTGGTATACTCAGTCGTGGTTTAGCATTCTTCTGTTTAGTCACCTTCCAGAAAAAATAAATCAATCTAGAGATGCCCTTCCCGTGCTATGTTCGTGAAAGACCTGCAATAACTTCATTCATTTCACGTTCTGGAAAAATGGCACAAGGCGTTGCAGGTCCTCTAGAATCTTCAAAAGTCATGGAAAAGAATCAAGCATGCGACCTTCTCCGTTCTCCTATCTATAACTATGCTTGCATGGTCCGTTCTCCTATCTATAACTGTGCTTGCATGAACCTGTCCAGCAAATGTAATGAAGCGGTAAAACCAAATGGTTTGCCTATTCACTGCAAAAGTCGAGTCTGGGTTGGAATGCTAATGCAAGTTCAAGAAAGGAACGGTGTAATTCTTGCATGTTATTTTGAGCCCTGATAATATGCAGTGTGTGGAAATATATTTTGTCAAACCTCTCTACTACTGTTTAAAAAGGCGGTAAGAGTATTACAATGGGCTGCAAATACAGGGAGAACAATGTACCAACACAGCTTAGCACCATGATCTTGCTGCTTGACATGATAAATGTACATATGTAACCTTGTAGCTTTCCTTTGGGTAAATGGCATGAGGCTTGTTTATAGGGAAATTACAGACAGATGTAAGAAGAGAGTTGTTTCTGAACATGAGGATAATTAAGATCTTCCATGTTGTATTAAGTTTAGAAATGAGAGTGGCAGGGAATATTTCAATTAAGATTTGCCATTCCCATGCGCTGTTCATTTTCTGTTACCTGTTTTTCCTCCTTCCTGTTGGTTTGAAACGTTATAGCTGTTCACTATCCAGTAACATTTTCTCAAACCCCAAGCACTTTTCCAGTCAATACATTCCAACCCTTCTTAGGTGTGTTACATAAGCTCACGCGACACTGCAGTGTTGTTTGTCTCTGCATCTAGACTCAAATCCTCTATTTGAACTCCATTTCAATTCATGCATTCTGTCCAGGGAGATTTCCCAACAACTGATGCAATTGAGGAAGAGCTCTGGTTAAAAGCACACAAATATTGAGATCCAAAAAACCTTGCTTACCAAACTCTACAGCAGTTAAGCAACTAACACCAGCAACAAATGAATAGTTTCCTCCATCTTCATTACCATGTTTTACTGAGCTGCTGATAATAGTAGTAGTCAATAATGGTCTTACAGATATCTGGTATCTTTCATTTCCTACAAAAGAGTGTTACAGCGAAATGTTAGTCTTTAACTTCACCAAATGCAAAAAACGTTCCATCATACTAACTTCAAATTGAAGCCATTAGAGTGCTTCAGCCTCCAAAAGACACAGAAAAATGTGACTGTCCTTCAAGTTGGACAAATGGGTTCAGAAAAACTCCATTATTGCTCATTGTTCCCGTTGTAAGGCAACTAACCTCAAGGAAAGGGAAATGTCTAGTGACAAGGAACTTAAACGTACTTTGAAAGAGCTCCTAATGTGGTAGTACTTGACTCACAAGCGATAGTTTAACAGCAACTAAAGAAATTCAGTCACATAGAAGCAATAAAAAGTTTCATACGAGATAATTTTAGTTGCATCTCAATGACAACACATCAATTTAATGTCTCATACAGAATAGTAGTGATGAAACATAACATGAAAAAACTTAGTAAGTTGCCCATTTTGCATGAAGATTCACTCCAGAGATGGATATCTTTTTTCTTTTGGCAGCAATCTGTGTTTCAAAAGCCATAGAAAACAGATTTATACAACTACGGTACCGTGAGACATTAGAGTCTAGAAGAAAAGTACACTGTTGCCATATCCCTTTTTTGGTGTGTTCTAACTGCTTTTGTTTGACAAGAAAAGCTTTTTACCATAAAACTTCTACTAAAATCTTTTTGCAGGATGAGAACCATTTATCACACAGCTATCTTTTTCCAGTACTTGAATTTATGAGCATCTTTGCATGATAAGAGCAAACGTGTGTCTGAGCAAAATAGTTACCTATCTTTTTCGGAACCGTCAAAAGTGAAGCTTTAACGCCAAATGACATTCCCCATAAACTTAAGTGCTGGAACATCCCTAATTTCCACATCAAACAGAGGCGCCTCAACCATTTTCAAACTCGATGAGTCCTGGTCTTTATGAATCATATCAAAGGCATGCATCTGGTCCTTGAAAGTATCAATAGGACATGAAATTAGAAGCTAAAGAAAACAAAAGAGAGAACCCAGAGGATTCTTTCTCTGCAGAGGGATTCATTTTGTGCAAGTGTTGATATCCTTGACATGTAAGACATCAACGTTTGGTATGGACTTGGTTAATGCTTAAACTCTTTAAAATTTCATAGCTTTGCATGTAAAGTTCGATGCAACCAGCCGAGCAACTGTGGTATATGGTACACCAGTTGCTGCCTCTTGTAGGATCTAACTTTCTAGTCACCAAAAGCCCAAAAGAGAACCCAACCTATCTGTCAAGTCTTTTACTTTGTTTGCCCTCCTTTCACAATGAATAGGTCTGCCTATGCCCAAACCAATAAAAGAACCAAAAAGACAAATCATTGATAGCATAAATCCAACATTACACAGATTTCCTGGGGAAAATAAAAAAACTTGTCCAGTCTTGAAATCCAAGTGAACTGTAACAGTATGAACCAAAAAGTGACGTCATACAAGGTTTTACTGGGACTATACATTAAAAAGCACACAATAAATCCATTGCCATGCTAGAGCCTTCCCAAATTTTCTGGCACCTCAAGTTTAAATGGAACACTTGAACAAAGAAATTTTCAAAAGAAGTATCATTTTAGAAATTCTGGAAGATGATAAAGATGCATAATCTGAAAAATGCAATTGGATTACGCTTTTAATAGGAAGCATATCCACACCCTAATATGCATTTGCATACTACATGCCCAGACTTGTCATGATTTCTACTTTGATCTCTATGGAAGTTGAGCAAGGCCCTTAAGAGTAATCAGGTTTGCGATTCTAAATCATCTTGAACATCAGTCAAATCTACTATGTTAAGGCTCATATGACTAAAAAAGACTGTAATTTAATAGTGCAAGATGAATGATACTCCAATTTGGATGTTGCAAGATGATAAAGATTCACATATTACCTTCCTTTTCATTGCACAGAACTTGCAGTCTGACAGTGATGGAGGTAACACTTGATTTACAATAAGCCTTCGTACTGGAACTTTTTCCTTCTTTAAGGATGCACACAACCTCGAAGACTCGCTAACTGCCATTGCCTTGTTAAGGAAATCAGAGAAAAATACCATTAAGAGTTACATTTTAAAAAAATAAGAATATTCTACAAATTACTAAATTACTTACTGGTCCACCTAAGACAATTTCTACCAAAATAAATAAGATTCAATGACATTTATATGATCACTATTTTCTGCAAATGAAAAGATCAACAAATGCAGCTGTACTGTAATGACTAAAAGACTGCTTTTACTTAAAAGAGCCTTCATCAAAGTTCTCCTCTCATTGAACTAAACAAGATGAAGCGACTCTTGACATAGGAACAATTTTCTCCCCTACAAGTAAGATTGATGACTTACTTTTGCTACTAAAATTCACAATGTAAAATGCAGAAGTTTTCGAACTCACAGTGGGTATTGTTACTATCACAACTCTGTTGTCTCTGTATCCCGGAAAAGATCTCGCACTTTCGTCATTCTCTCTCCCACTTGCTCTAGCTTGTTACTCTACAACAAAGCAACTTATGAGTACTAAGCATTTAAGGAACTACATGAGGAGAGGAGAAGTCTCCTAAGAGGAATACTCACAGCTATTTGTTTGCGCACCTCTTTACTGATAACAAATTTACTGGCTGAAGTTGCAGATGCAATCTTTTCCTTCAGCTGAATTATATAACATATTAAAAACATGTTAACAAGTACGTCAAAGTAGGAGAAAGAAAATACTTCAGCCACAATTGTTTCAGCAAATATACAATCTCCTCGGTGAGACTTGGACAAGCTGCAATTATGCTTTGCAGGAGTGGAAGAAAGCACGCAGGCTTGAGGAAGAGAATATGCAATCAGCCATAAAGATCAGGTACGCTCAACTAAAATGACATATAGTTAACCACAAGAAATAAGAGAACTTGGTTATTGTGCAGTAATGCCACTGATTCTGCAAGCACTTTGAAGCAATACAAAAGCATAAGCAGTCTTAAGAGTATACCTGGGCTCATACCTTGATTGTCTTGCCTATATATGTATCCATGAAATCTGGCAAGGACAGAAGCTACAGAGTGCTACCCTGTGGAAATACAAAATAAATTAGTGCACGGCAACAAACTTAATAGAAATTATGCCAAGTGGACTCTCACTTACTGTGAAATTTCTATGATTTTTTCTTTAGGAGGAGTACTGGGCGAGGAGTCCTGTTCTGGAGTAAACTTGCGTGGAGGGGAAGGAGGACTGAGGAGGAGGCTGGATTGTAGTGTTGCCCAGATGTCAACAACTAGTCCAGTTTGGATGGAAAATACCACAGAACTTGTCTACCTTCCCTGATGAGATTTGAGGAGTTTGAGTTTTCTTTTTTACGTTCAAGTGTTTATGGGGTTTAATGTATCATGTGCTGCTAGCCAGGAAAGGGAAGCTTACAAATTTCCCACCAAATCCTCCACCATAATTGTTTCAAAAAGTCAAAAGAAATCTTCCAAGGCCTTGGTTTCACCTTTCCCCTTTTTTTTTTTGTACATGTTGAAGTGTATAATCTCTAGTCTTTTTTTTTTTTTTTGCCCCTTTTCCCCCTTTCTTTTATGCTATATGGTAAAAGATCCACCTATTTAATTTTGTATAAATTTTGTCGATATAGTTTGAAGTCAAGTATGGTCATTGTAGGTGGTAAATTAACTGTTTGTAAAAAAATGAAAATGAGGCACTATTTTTTTTTTTTTTTTGGAGTGAAGTCTAGACATCTCACTTGTAACCCTTTCCACCTTACTAATACTACCCAATCCAATTCCACCCCTAGAAAATGAAGCACTTTAGTAAACAACGAGAGCGAGCTACAATTAAAGTCAAAATTTATTTGTGCGTGTGTGTGTGTGTGTGTGTGTGTTGTTTTTTTTTTGGCTGGAAAGGGCAGTTGGAATCAAAGTTAATTGAGGACTCAGTTTACATGTAGTATATGTGTTCCTCTGCTTTACTTCACCCAAGAATGCATTGATCAATCATCAATCATGGATCATCATATTCAGCTTTGTTGTCCAAGAAATTATGTTGTCTTAAACAAGAAATACTTCTTCCATGTAACTACCAAAGCACCCCAACAAACAGTATTTTTTCTAACACCCTACTCCTAATATACTGCAAGTGCAAGCTACGCCAAACCCAAACGGCCTAAAGGTAAACGCCCCCGGCCCACCGCACCCCCACGTCGCCACCCTCCCTCAACAAAATGGCCTTCCCACAAATCCAGACGGTTAGTCAATCAAACAACAACAACTGCTTCTGAAAGCTCCCTCCCATCTTCTGATCATTCTCTTCCCTTACTCCCATATTCAAATCAATCCTCAACAGCAACATTCTTACCAACTACTTGCAAAACTTGCTTTAAGCTCAAGGCGAAGGCTCCTAGAGACCATCCTTCTTGTTGGAATACCAGGAATTTGATCATTGAAGATTCTATGGCCTCGCTTTAGCATTTTCTCCGGGTCTTTCTGCGGTTGAAGAAGTACCGTTGCAATTCAGCATTAGCATTCATGGCAACCGAGGCCGACTTACAGCTTCATTTACCAACTCAGGTTTGTAAGGCTATATTGATAATCATCTTGTTCAAATACTTGAAGATGATTTTATTCTTGGTTGATAATAGTTAGTACTCTATAATATAGTAATTCCTTTTTTTTTTTTTGGTATGTACGATTGCTAATTAGATTTTTTTTTTCTTTGAAATTTTGTTTCCGTTTCAGAGAAAGAAGAAACATAGCGGACAGCTAAAGAAAGAGGAGCTTGAAAGAGAGGTATGGGTGCGATTCCAAGTACGTTTTCTCTTTTGTCTTCTGAGTTGTGCCATTCGCATGCATGGTTGCTTCGACTCCGACACGATTCTAGTACAATACTAGGTGATGGCTTCATTCTCTGGCCTACATCTTCTTTCAAAATGGTGCCCATCACTCAGTAGCCTGGTCATTTATGATTCAAATATCCACATTTTTGGCCTAATTAATTGTATTCTTTCCTCCTCAAAATATTTCTTGTTTCATATAATATTTGGTTTTTTTTGGGGGGGGGGGGGTAACTCATCGTCAGTTCACATAATTCTTGAACTTGGAAAGCTTATAGTGTTCGTACTGAAACAGTCATTCTTCATCTGAAACAAATTAATTATTACACATTCAAGTTAGATATTCTTGCAAATTTTCCTGTTGGCTTTAATACTTTTTTATTTTTTATTTTGGGGGTTGATGTTTATGCAAACTGAACTGCTAATTTTGGAAATTAATATTGTATATAAGGTTGATGTGCTCCGGAAAATGCTGGATCATGAAGAGAAGGTGCATGAATTTCTGGAACGAGCGCAACATCGACAGGATGGTACGTCAAGTAGTAGTCTTGGTATCCCAAACTTTCTTCCTCCCAAGGTGAGTAAGATGGTGCAATGTCACGTACCAGTGTTAGGTGTGTATATGATCTCATAGAAACCAAATCCATATGTAAGATCGATGTTCCTATTCTGATGCTATTGTATATATATGCTTGTCACCGAAGCAAATCACAACGAATAGTTATGTAGGTGAACAAATTACTATAAGTTTCAGAGTAGATTTTCATTTTCATTTGATGAATGGTAATAGACGTTCCACTTTCCAAGATAAAAGTTCCTGATAACATGGTCGACTCTATGTAGAATTCGATGGGAAAGAGCAGAATTATTCAGAACAGTTGTTCTTAATTTTCCTGATTCATATCCAGTACATTAATAGCAAATCAGAGTTGAATTCAGAGTCTGGACCGAAAATCAAATTTTTTTCCTTCTTAGTTTGATATATATATATAGATCCCAGATGGGATTTTGGAACTTGATTAATTTGATGTGCTTTCTATTTGTCAACTGCTGTGGTAATTAATGGACGGATTCAACTTTAATTACACTCATGAGAAGTTAAGATTTATTTCATGAATTGCGCAGATGAAGGAGCTGCTAGCAGAGTTGGCAATGGTTGAAAACGAGATAACTCGTTTAGAAAGCCAAATCAGCCAGCTCCAAGCTGAGGTGAAGCTCGAGAAGGAAGCCACAGCAGAATCAAAATCCAAGCAGCTGAGACAACCTCCTCCATCCCAGAACATGAATCCTGATCTTGATCACTTCCCATCTCATCCAGAAGAGGGCAACAAAGAGTTGTTGAAGGAGAAGGTGTCGTTCGAAACCAAGGCATTACATTTCATTAGCAAGGCCATAAAAGGTGATTACAATCTCAGTGACTTCAGCATTAGTGACAAAGCACTGAAGTCAAGAATCCTTTCTGATCAAAAGGAAAATCAATTTCAAGAGCAATCTGATGCACATCGGAACAAGGGTGGTAAAAGGAGTGGGATGCTGATACCTGCATCGCCCATGCGCGAGCCAAGACAGCCGACCCCAGGGTAACGTTCACCAAAGTTTGTGGCTTTCTTGTACACTTATCAACTTCACTTAGATTAGTGGAATTCCACCTTGGATCATTAGAGAGTAACAAAAACAATGTTTATCTTAAAGACTAAATTAACACTTATCTGAGCCAAATCAATGTCGAAGGCGTAATCATTTTCGCAATCAGGAAGTCAAAGTAGATTGATCATATACTTGTCACATTACCAAGAACTCTTTTTTAAATTCAAGTAGCTTAGCCCAATTGGCCAAGGGATAGAGTGTTTAAAAATTCTCTTGTGGGTGTTGGGAATTGGAATCCTCATTGTAGAAAACCTGAAAGATTGCATTACTCTAAGTCTAAGCTGGAGGTGAAGCTTGACTCCCTTAAATTTTTCTTTTTTAAACAAATTTGATTGGATAATCAACTTTTGTGATGTTTTGGATTGTTTTATATGCTAATTATAGATTTTTTTTTTTAATAATCAACAAAGTTAAAATTTATCATCAATCAAAGAGTGAATAGGCAAATGAGAACAAGGTCACAATTCGACAGGATCCACTAATTATAGATATCTTCAGTAACACCACTAATTTCTTTGGTGTTGTTTATGCTATCTATATATTTATTTCGCCATTCGACAAACGTTTCCTCGTAATTTTGTTGGAAAAAATTAACATCCAGTAATCAATTGAGGCAAAATAGAGAAGTTCAAGAATTGAATTTTGCATGTTTGGCTCTCATTTTGCAGCCTATTTGTAGTTGATGTTGTAAACAACTCATGTTTCAGAGGGATCGACGTTTGGAAACCTCCTCGGATCCTCCATCCAAAATACCATCTGCTCCGCAAGACGCAGAAGAGGAGAGCATCAACAAGTGGGCACCCAACAAATTATCCGAGAACATCGTGAAATGCCTGCATTTCATATTTGTCAGGCTGCTCCGGACATCAAGAACAATGGAGTTAGAGAAATCAGGCCCAATTTCACGCTCCACAAACTTTTCTTTAAGCTCAGAGCTGAGCCCAGCTTAAATTCTAAGGCCAGCCTTCTGCTGCAGAAGGATTCAAGACAGCAAGATCCCTATGGAATCTTTGACTTGGAAGAGT